AGTTCATTCATCCTATTGGTGAGGATTTCTCCTGTTTTTTCTAACTGGCTTAGTGTATGTTTCACTTCCTTCTTCATTTCTAGCTCTTTTATGACTTCATTCAGAAGTTTATCCCTATCTTCCCTCAGTTCTTTGATTTCTTTTTGTGTGTTTTCTTTAAATTTACTGAATTTTTTTATCATGTTTATAATTGTTCTTTTGAGTTCCATGTCCTGCATTATTTCTAGGGTGTTCTCATTGTACTCCTCTAGAGGACTATTGGTATTTGGTGGGGATATGTTATTTTGGTTTTTCATGTTATTTTTTTCTCTGTGATTTTGACATGTGAATTTCTTTTGTAGTTTCTGATTCTTGTGTGAGACTCAGGCCTTCAAGTTTAGGTCTGCTTCTTTTTGTGAACTTTATGTGTCTTTCTGGTTTACTTTTTGGGCATGGAAAGCTGGTTCGTCTAAGCTTCTGGTTGTCTCTTTGATTTTATATTGGAGTGGCCGGATTGCTTTTGTCTTCAGGAGTTCCCACAGAGGGTCAGATGTTTTCAGGCTTTCTCCTAAGGTCTGGATCCCTCCAGGAACGATTTTGGCCTCAGGAATTTGGGGGTTGGACTGGCCTGGCAGCCTGGCCCAGGAGATGCCACCGAGAGATGCAAAGGCAGATGGGATGGGAAGAGGTCCCAAGGCCTCCTGGGGACTGCACTGAGGAGCTGGGTTGGTCTAGATGCAAAGGATCAGGAAGAGGAAAGGTCAGCCCCTGTGTCCCAGAAAGAGGCTGGCAGGTGGTGCAGGCCCAGGGAAGCAGAGGGAGTTGAAGACGGGGCCAGGCCCAGAAGCAGTGCTCCTGGGGCCCAGAGAAGGCACTGCACTGGTCTGGATGAAAAGGATCCGGGAGCAGTATTGGTTCCCCAGGTGTCTGGGGCCCCAAGACAAGGAATGGGGCAGGGCCCAAACTCGGATAAGAGAACGAGTTTGGAGATAGGAGGGTGAATGGGGCTGGGGGAGTCAAGGAGCGGAGGGTGCAATGGACTTGCCCAGGAGAGAGACCTGCGGATAGGAGAGAGGCCTGCTGCGGGTCCTGTAGGCCCAGGGCTATATTGGTTTTTTTTAATTATTTTTAAATTTTTAAAAATTTTATACATGAATACTGTATTTACATCGTTTCCACCCCTCCTACCTCCCACAGCTCTCCCTTGTCCCCTCCACACCCTCTCAATTTCTTGTCTTTTTCCTTGATTATTACTGTTACTCATACATTTATATATTAAAGATACATGTATAAAATAATATACTGAGTCCATTTAGTCCACTGGTGCTCATGTGTTTATGTGTTTAGTGCTGACCACTTGGGATTAGATAACCTATCAGGGAGCTTGTCCCAGGAGAAAAGTAATTCTCCCTTTCTCAGCATCCATTCATTGATCACCTGTAGCTCTTCATCTAGAGGTGGGACCCTGTGAAATTCCCCCTCTCCATATATGCATATCTAGTGGTATTATCATTATGCAGGTCTTATTAGGCCATATTGTGGAGGTTTTGTAGGTGCAGTTTCTTTTGCACATGTAGAATGAATTATCTATCAGCAAGCATCCTGGTCCACTGGCTTTTAATCCTCTTCCATGATGTTCTTGAGCCTTAGATGTAGGGGTTACATTATAGATGTGTCAGGCTAGACACCCCGTGTAGCTATTTGTAAGTGCATATACTTAAAATGTACGAGAAAAGAAGTGACTTAAAGGTGGAATTTATAACTAAATGAGAAGCAGAATGGAAAGGTTGTGAAATTCATAGCCTTTTTATGTAAAGAGTTGAAAAGATCTGTTTAAGAGCAAACCAAAGCTGTTACCAAGTGAACTCCATTAGCTAAAGAGATCAGCATGGCTAGAAGGGAGCCAGGTACTGTCCATTAAAGCAATAAAAGAGAGTCCCTGGTGGGATTTCAGAGGTCTTTGAGGCTGCTCTTACCATCATTGGGCCAGAACTCTAGGAGGCCAGAGTGGTTTCAGGCATAGGCAAAAGGAACCTTTCATAGACCTTCAAACCTAGGCCACCTTGAGACTCTCAGCACATCTAGCACAACACTCTGACTACCCCATCTGGGGCTCAAGAATTGCAGCTGCAGCTTGACCTGCCAGAAATTCAGAATGAAAGAGCTGTGGGCTCTTCTATCTAAATGTGAAAGAATATGTGGATCACCATGAGGCCTAGGCAGAAATTGTGACAGAGATGGAGCAACTGCATAGCGCCCCTGCAAGAGCAATGCTAAACATTGGAGATGGGAGAGCTACAGGCATGAGACTCCCAACAGTAAGCGGTACAGAGTGGACTGAACCCAGCAAAGTTAGAGGGTCAGGGCTTCCTCAGGATAATGTGGAGCTTGTGGAGTCAAAGGAGTGAATTTTCCAGGATTAAGACAATGTTGTCTTTCTAGTTTGGCTTTGAGTTTCCTTGGGATCAGTTGCCCCTTTCTTGAAAGGGAAAATCTGTCTGCTCTATGCATGTCCCTCTGTTGTAGTCTAGAACCATGTAACTTGTTTGATTTCCTAAGCTCATGGGTGGAGGGAATCATATCTTAATACTCATTTTACTTAGCTGAAACTATAACTTTGATGCTGAAATCAGAGAAGGCTTTTGTAACTATTGAGATGAAATAAATGCTTTTTGCATCAATAGAATGATATGAATTTTGGGGCCAAAGGACAAAGTGATGTGTCTTGGATGTAACTCCCCAAAGTGTATTTTCAGAAGCTTAGTTTTCAATGCAACAGTGTTGAGAAGTAGGACTTTCACAAAGGATTGGGATCACATGGCACACACTCAAATGGATTAAGACCATTATTTCTGGAGTGAGTTCATTACAGAAAGGAGGAATCTGGCCTCCTTTTCTCTTTTGTGTGCTCTTTCACATGTGATGCCTTTACAATGTTAAAGTGCAGCAAGAAGTTCCTCAGTCTTGGCTTTTCAGCCTATAGCATTGTAAGTCAAAGAAGCTGCTGCTGTTTATAATTTACTCAGCCTAGTGGTATTCTCTTGTCACAACAGACGATGAAACACTCCTGTGACTTTCCCTTCAAGATTTTTGGTTTCACCATCATATCCCTTGGAACACAGCCATGGCTCCCTTGCCTCCCTATTTCTGCATTGTACTCTTGGAGTTAGACTGGCATGGCCACTATGTCATGGCTACTCCTGAGCCTTGGAATGTAGCTAGGGAGATACTCACCTTACCTACTCTCTGTGGCCCTCAGCACTCCGGCAACCACCCTGCATTTCCCTCAGCAGTGTATTCTTTCACTTCCTTGGACTCTCAAACTATCTCTTTCCTTAGGAACATCTCAAGCCCCTCCAGTTTGTAGTTGATTATTCCTTATCCTGTTGAGGAGATGAAGCAATCAGAGAGCTATCTCCTTCCTTCCCATCTCCAAGTCTCTCTTTTTTAAAAATTTAATTTTAATTTTTTGTTTATCTTTATTTTATGTGTATGAGTGTTTTGCCTGCATGGTATATAAGTACACCCATGCATGTAATGCTTGAGGAAGTCAGAAGAGAGCGTTGAATCCCCTGGAAATGGAGTTAGGGATAGTTGTTAACCACCCTGTGAGTGCTGGGAACTGAACCTGGGTCCTCTGCAAGAGCAGTGAGGACTCTTAACTGCTGAGCCATCTCTCCAACCCTCCAAGTCTCTATAAGATCAGTTCTCTCACTTCTCAATATATTCAGTAAATTCTGTTTCCTCTCTTTTACACAAACTTTTTTCTCTTCCAGTTGTCCTGTATTTCTCCTGTTACATCACCACCTTCTGTATTCCACTATACTTTATCATTGCCTTCAGAACACAAACAGTTTCTGCTTTAAGCTGCAGAAGTAACAACCATCCTAAATTTTATGTCTTCAGAGATGTGTTTTCTTACTGGACACCAAGTCTGTGGGATTCTTCTGTGACACTTCATGAAAAAACAGATCAGTTAGTTACTTTCACTAGTATCCAGTATAATAGTATGTGGGCATAACATGATTTTTCTCTTTCTATAATGAAAATTTTGAATATTAAAGTTTTACACATATGCAAACTGTACAACCCCCACATGTATAGTTTAGTCAATTATAACAAACTGAACATTACAAATTGAACAACAAAATGTGACCAGCACCTGTAAGCCAACCTTGAACTCCTTCCCTGTTCTTCTCCACCCAAAAGTAATCACTATCAGTATTTCTGATTCAAAATTTAGTTTTACATCTTTGTAAACTTGGTACAAATGAAATTGTACAGAATGTATTGTTTTGAATTTGGCATCTTTTGTGTGTAAAATTCATTCATTTTCATTGCATAATATTACCTTGTATTAGATACCATGACATCCATTTTATATTGATACACATTTGGACTACTTCCAGTATTTTGTGGTTACAAATAACACTGCTTTGTCCATCTTCATACACATATTTGTGTGTGCATTTCCCTTATTTCATGTCTAAGAATGGAATTTGTTAATCATGGGATGGATGTACTACATCCTATTTAACCATTTTCTTTTTGGATAAATTTTTTGTGTGTGTGCTACAGTGAGCATTTCTAGTTATGTTGCCTAGTAAAAAAAAAATTTGGCTATAATAATATTCGATGGAGTAGACACATAGAATGAAATTACTGGGTGAAGGTATGCCTTTTAAACTGTGTTAGATAAAACTGCCTTCCCAGAGTATTTTATACCAATTGACCTTCTTACTGCACTGTATTCATTCTTGCTCCACATTCTTACCAACAGTTGTCGTTTGTGACCTTTCACTTTCAGCAATCTGGAAGGTATGTCATGATCTCATGTGGCTTTAATTTGCATGTTCTTAGTTAATAATGGGATTAAATATAGTTTTGTTTATGGGCCATTTGGGTTTTTTAATTTAGTGTTTTTTCTGCTTATTCTTCAGTGTGGAGATGTACTTCCCTCAAAATGACTCTTGGATTGGTCTGGCTCCCCTAAATATTCCTCGCTATGAATTTGGAATCTGTGTTTTAGACCAAAAGGTATATGTTATAGGTGGTATTGAAACCAGTGTGCGTCCTGGTGTCACTGTCAGAAAACATGAGAATTCAGTGGAATGCTGGGATCCAGACACAAACACCTGGACTTCTCTAGAGAGAATGAATGAGAGCCGAAGCACCCTTGGAGTGGTAGTGCTCACGGGAGAACTGTATGCATTAGGTGGATATGATGGACAGTCTTACTTGCAATCTGTAGAAAAATACATTCCCAAAATAAGACAATGGCAGCCTGTGGCCCCAATGACAACCACACGAAGCTGCTTTGCCGCGGCCGTCCTGGATGGGATGATCTATGCCATTGGTGGGTATGGCCCTGCTCACATGAACAGGTACTTAGCTTGACTGAATTGCATGTTTGTAGATTTTTTTTTTTAAATTTTAATAGCCAGGCATTGTGCACATCTTTAATCCCAGCACTCGGGAGGCAAAGGCAGGCAGATCTCTGTGAGTTCAAGGCTAGCCTGGTCTACAAAGTGAGTTCCAGGTTAGCTGGGGCTACAGGGAGACTTTGTCTCAAAAAGACCAAAAAAAAAAAAAATTAATGATTTTTTTAACTAAATGATTTATTTTTAAATACTTAATTGCTTTTATTTGTACAAGTGTTTTGATTGCTGGTATATTTACTGGTTTGTGTGCAGTGTCCATGAAGCCTGGAAGAGGGCAATAGAACTGCCATGTGGGTGCTGGGACTCGAGCCCAAGTCCTCTAAAAGAATAGCAAGTGCTCTTAACCCCTGAGCCACCTCTTTAGCCCACATCTGTAGATTTTTACAGAAGCATACTTTGCCATCATTGCTGAGTTTTAAATAATTTGTGTGTATGGATGAGCTTCCTTTTAAAATATTTTTAAGTAATACTGATAGTCTTTTGGGAATTTAAATTAGGTTGCTCATAAGTGTAGCAGTTTAATTTTATTATTTTTATTTTATGTGTATGTGTGTATTGCCTGCATATATATAAGTACACCTGTATCATGCAATGCCTATGGACGTCAGAAGAGGCTGTCAGATCCCCTGGAACTGGAGTTATGGACAGTTGTTAGCTGCCATGTGGGTGTTGGGATTCAAACCTGGGTCTTCTGCAAGAACAGTTAGTATTCTTAATTGCTGAGCCATCTCTCCAGCCCCCAAGTGTAACAGTTTTTATCAGAATTGAGTATCACCCAAGATTCAAATCTCTCATTAAATATACATTCATCTAATGTATTGGACTACATTTTAAAGCTCAGAAACCTAAAAATAAGAGTTAGATAAGTTTAGATTTTGTGTGGTATGTGTGTAAATGATCTTTCCTTGCATTGCTTAATAAAGTATAGAATTATATAAATAATGTAATTCCTGAATTCCAGTACATTATAAGACATCATAAAAATTTAAAATCTTTGGCTAGCTAGATTGTTCAGTAGGACAAGCCTGGTGACCTGAGTTCAATATCTGAATCCCACAGTAGAAGGAGAAAACCAATTCCCAAGAGTTGTCCTCTGATCTCTACACAGGCTCTGTGGCATGTGCATTCTCACACACACACACACACACACACACACACACACACACACAATAATAATTTTTGTAAAAGAAACGGCTTTTAAAATTAAAATCTTACTTTATATTCCTTTTTGGATTCTGTAGTCATGCATGTATCACCACATGGTGCTAGAATGAAGATGAGAAATGTCTGCTTTCATATATTCTTGAAAGAAAGCAAAAGGCATATGAGAAAGTAAAATTTCAAAGTTACTGCTTATATGCAATATTAATTAGAGTTCGAAACTTTTGTTGAAAACTGTTGTTCTTTAAAGATTGTATCTCTAATAGTAATAGGTGTGGTATGTGTTTTACTTATTGTGAAAAATGAAAAAGAATTGTGTTTATAGGTAAACACTGCACCACCATTTTATAGAAGGGATGGGAGCATCTGTGCAGTCTGTCCTGCAACCAGATCCTAGATATCCCTGGTGGATAACTAACTGTACCAAAGAATAGCATGTGGCGATTATTGTACCCTTATCAACAAAGGAAGCCTTTATCTCTACAATCTTGCCCACAAAACCTAAACATTGAGACAAATTACTCTTGATCTGTATCTTTCTTTTAATTTAATCTTTAAAATTGTGGTGTGTTTTAGTTTTGCTTTGGCAGGAAAAACTAAAAAATAACCTGTGCATTAATTCTTCCTCGTGTAAATATTTGCAGTGTGGAGCGTTATGATCCAAGTAAGGATTCCTGGGAGAAGGTTGCATCCATGGCAGATAAAAGGATTCACTTTGGTGTGGGAGTCATGCTAGGCTTTATTTTTGTGGTAGGTGGGCATAATGGTGTCTCGCATTTGTCAAGCATTGAAAGATATGACCCTCATCAAAATCAGTGGACCGTGTGTAGACCAATGAAAGAGCCCAGAACAGGTAATAATGATTTATTTTTTTGTTTGTTTGCTTGGTTGCTTGGTTGCTCTGTGGTACTGGGATTTAAACCAGAACCTGTGCATGCTAGATAAGTATGCTACCTTGAGCTCCATCTTGAGCTGATAATAATTCATTAAATAATAAATGTAAATTCTGACATACAGAGGTGTGTTTTTTAATATATTTTATTATTTTATTTTATGTGTATGAGTGTATTGCCTACATGTGTGTAAGTGCACTCGTGTCCTGCAATGCCCATGGAGGTCAGAAGAGGGTGTCAGATCCCCTGGACTGCAGTTCGGACAGTTGTAAGCCACCATGTGGGTGCTGGGACTCAAATCTGGGTCCTCTGCAAGAGCAGCCATACTCTGAACTGCTGAGCCAACTCTCTAGCCCCAGAGCTGTGCTTTATATAGTGATATTCTTGAGATACTAGTATCTTAGACTGTGACAGGATATTTACCAGAAAAAGAAAATTTGTGTGTGTGTATGCACATTAGAGTGCAGCGTGTGTGTGTGGAGGTCAGAGGAAAACTATAGGGCTTGGTTCTCTGTTCCCATCTTGTTTTAAAGCAGAGTCTCTCTTAGTTTTTGCCACTGCGCTGCATACAGGCCCATAAGCTTCCAGTTTGTGTCCAACTCCAGTCTCACTGTAAGAGTATTGTGATTTCAAATATGTGCCACCACATCCAGCTTTTCATGTGGATTCTGCGATCAGACTTTTATGGCAAGTGTTTTTACCTGTGGAGCATTTCCCAAGCCTAGAAAAATAATTTATGGCAAAACTGACAGACAACTAGCTGGCAAAATTGTGCGTGTGTGTGTGTGTGTGTGTGTGTGTGTGTGTGTGTGTGTTTATAGTCATTTTAATATGACAGTGTGTATATTACAGTTTTTCCAACTTGGAGAACCATTTTGGGAAATGCTAATGATAGAATAGATCATTCTAGAAGCTCTTTTTGCCCTTATAACAAATTTCATAACTTTGTATGAGTTTTATTATGGTACATTAATTGTACAAAATAATGGGTTTCATTATGACATTTCCATATGCAAAGTTCCTTTGCTCATATTCATTGTCACTGTTGCCTTTTGTCACCTTCCTCCTCCCTGCTGGTTCCTGTCTCCTTCCCAAATTGTCTCCATCTATTATCATGTCTTTTTTAAATTTTTTAAATCTGGATTTTGCATATGAGAGAAAACATGTGATTGTTTTCTTAAGTCTTTGCATCTTAAATATAATGTGACATGGAGAGGTTTTTTTTCTTCCTGGTTGTGTCCATTTGGAACTCTGTACCTAGATACCTATATCTTTCCCTACGTATGGGGAAGTTTCAGGTATTACTTTATTGAGGTTTTCTATGCCTTTGATTTGTGTCTCAGCCCTCCTTTTTCTACTCCATGACTTCTTTGGATTTGTCTCTTGGTCATGTCCAGAAGTCTTGAAATTCCCAACCATTCTGGCTACTGTTTTCTTGTTGGTTGTCTGAATGTAGCATTTCATTGACCTCATCCTTAATCTTGTGATAGTTTTTTTTCTGCTTGATCTAGGCTATTACTAATGCTTTCCACTCTGGTTTTTGTTTAATTTATTGATTTTTTTCCCCTGTCCTTTGTTTGTTTGTTTGTTTGTTTGTTTGTTTGGAGAGTCTCAGTGTCTATACTGAATTTCTGCTCCCCGCAGCTTTCTGGTCCAGGTCTTTACATGATGTTCTTTTTCATTCATCTGCCTGTTTGAATTCTCTTTGAGATGACTGATCATTTCTAAAATTAGACTTTGGGTTCCTTCAGCATTTCAGTGTCTTAGGATTCAGTTACTGAGGAGTTACCGTCTTTTGGAGAAGCCTTGTCTTGCGGTTTCATATTTCTTACATTTAATGTTGCAGTTTTCACATTTGTTGGGATGAGTACCCTCGATTTTTTTGTCTTTTTTTATGTAGATTTCTTAGTTGGCAGTCTTCTTTTGAGGTCATAAGCCCCATTACCACTCAGAAGAAAGAAAGCAGACAGGAGCTACAAAAAAACAAACAAATCAGGGGCCAGACATGGTGACACATGCCTTTAGTCCCAGTACTCAGAAGGCAGAGGCAGATGGATCTCTGTGAATTCAAGGCCAGCCTGGTCTACAAAGTGAATTCCAGGCCAGCTGCTGGAGCAATAGGGAGACCCTGTCTCAAAAAAAAAAAGGAACAACAAAAAAACAAATCAGGTGGCTGGACGTGGTAGTACACACCTTTGATCCCGGCATTTGGGAGGCAGAGACAGGTGAATCTCTCTGTGAGATCCAGGCCAGCCTGGTCTACATAGCAAGTTCCAGGCCAGCAGGAGCTACAGGGACACCCTATCTCAATAACAAAAACTAAATAACAAAAATTAATATTTAAATGTAGTATAAAACAACTGGAAACATCACTATTCACCAAGGAAGGTTAGAAAAGAAAGAAGCCAGGACATTTACAGAATAAACTAGGAGTTTCAAACTTACTGAAAGAAATGCTATTAATAAGTAATAAAATGGGGTTGTAAGGAAGAGAAAAATAGAGAAGAAAGATAGGAAAGAAAGACCATATGGGTTGAAGGTTTAAAACATGATAGGGCAGGGAAGATGGCTCAGTGGGTAAAGTTCTTGCTGAGCAAACATGAGGGCCTAGATTAAGAGCCCCAGCACTCACATTAAGAAACTGGGTGATGGCTCAGCACTTAAGAGCACTTGCTGCTCTTGCAGAAGATCAGAGTTTAGTTCCCAACACCCAGATTTGGTGGCTCACAACTGCCTGTAACTCCCAGCTCTAGGGGATCCAAATGTCTTCAATCTGGCCTCCGGGCACCAATACATACACAGACATACATATACATATATAAAAATAAAATTAATATAAAGAAGATCCAGCAGTGTTTGTCTTAATCTCAGCACTGAGAGACAACGCCAGGAGGATCCCAGGGACTTTGTGGCAGCCATTCTAACCCAGTCAGCAAGCTCCTACTTCAGTGAGAGACTATGTCTCAAAAAGTAAGGTGGGCACCAATGGAAGAAGACACCTGACCTCAACCTCTGCCTCTACATGCACATGCATGGATGCACACACGCACACACACACACACGAACAGATAAATAGTAAGAGCACAAAAACAAGTAGAAACAAATAGTCCAAAAAACAGAGGAAAGAGATACAGAGACATGGAAGAAAGGAGGGAGGGAAACTCTCAGTCAATATTTCTTCTTTGCTCCAGAGAAAAAAAAAGGATGAATCCTCCACACACATGTACACATGTGTGCACAGTCATACCCGTCTTTTGTAGTTTCCTGGATATGATGTGCAAGCCATTTTTTCCCTATAAAAAGTTCTAAGGATTTAGAACACAAAGGGCTATTTGCAGTCTGAGCCCTGTCAGTTTTTCTGGTATATAAGCCTGCTAATTCGGTGAGTGCTGGATCCACCCTCTCAACTTCTCCCCCCCAGAGAAGGCCCCCTATGCTTTCCAGCTTGCACACTGGTGCTGTGGAAGGTAATCACCTTAACAGAGGCCATTCAAGTGTTGGCTATAGTTTCTTTGACATCCTTAATAGGGAAAGCCATGGAAGCAATGAGAATTTTTTGTTTCATTGGGGTTTTGTTTGTTTGTTTGTTTGTTTGAGACAGGGTCTCCCTGTAGCCCCAGTTGGCCTGGAACTCACTATGTAGACTTGTAGACCGGCTGGCCTCAGTCTCATAGGATCTAACTGTCTCTGCCTCCTGAGTGCTGGGATTAAAGGACTGTGCCACCATCCCTACAAGAATTTCTTTTTAATGTAGGTGGACTTACTCTTTTTAGAACTCTATGTGATAATATCTAAGGGAGATTTTTTTTTTTAATTTTATGTGTATGCATGTATTGCCTGCATGTAGGTAAGTGCACCCGTGTCGTGCCATGCCCGCAGAACTCAGAAGAGGCTGTGAGATCCCCTGGGAATGGAGTTACAGACAGTTGTTAGCTGCCATGTGGGTGCTGGGATTCGAACCCAGGTCTTCTGCAAGAACAGTCAGTGTTCTTAACCACTGAGCCATCTCTCCAGCCCCCTAAGGGAGAATTTTTAAGATATAAATTATATAGTACAGTTTATTTGAAACCTGATAAAAATGATTTATAGAAAAATATGTAAATGTAGATTTTAAAACATAGAGAAAAAAATACACTATTTTCTACTTTAAAAACACATGCATTACCCTAATCTGATTGTCTATTATATACATGTATTGAAATGTCACACTGACTGTGTACCCTGTGAATATGTACAATTAGTGTGTGTCAATTAAAGCTAAAAGAAGGGTTTTTTTGTTTTTTGTTTGTTTGTTTGTTTTTTGGTCTTTTTGAGACAGGGTCTCCTTATAGCCCCAGCTGGCCTGGAATTTACTGTGTAGACCAGGTTGGTCTTGAAATCACATAGATCCACCTGCCTCTGCCTCTCGAGTGCTGGGATTAAAGGTGTTCACCACCATGCCCAGCTCTAAAAGCTATTTTTTTTTTTTTTTGGCTTTTTGAGACAGGGTCTCCCTGTAGCCCCAGCTGTCCTGGAACCCACTATGTAGACCAGTCTGGCCTTGAACTCAGAGATCCGCCTGCCTCTGCCTCCCGAGTGATGGGATTAAAGGTGTGCACCACCACACCCGGCTTCTAAAAGCATATTTTTAAAAGTACTTTCCTGTAGTCGGGGAGAGAGAGAGAGGATTAGAGGGCAGAAGTGAAGGAAATCAACTCTTTAATTAAAAATGCTTTTTTCCTAGTAAGCCTGTATTACTGTATTGCTCCTATAGTTAAATTGTTGAAATATATTTTAAGAACACATTAAGAAATCATTTATTTTCAATGAGACAGTATCTACCGTATGGTTAACCTGTTTCTCCTTTTTCCCCACCTGTCGTAGGAGTTGGTGCTGCGGTAATTGATAACTACCTGTATGTAGTCGGTGGGCACTCAGGGTCTTCATATCTGAACACAGTGCAGAAATATGACCCTATCTCAGATACGTGGCTGGATTCAGCTGGCATGATATACTGCCGCTGCAATTTTGGATTGACTGCACTTTGACAAGTGTAAACTCGTGTAAGTAGCGTGGTGGGGAAGTTTGTGCCATGTGAAAGAATGCCCAGTTATCTGAAACCTAAGCTGCGTTGCTTTCTTTTTAACTTGAAGTGGCATGAAGACTCCGCGTTTTGTTGGATACTTCGAAGTGACAGTTTGAGATGCTCTTGATCATACAGTGAATCAACAAAACGAAAAAGAAAGAAGAGTCGAAAAGAAAAGGGAAAGACCTTGCCAGTTCAGTTGTGCGCTTTTTCCCCCTGAAGACTGGGATAGACCAGTTTTATGTTCCTAAATGTACATGTAGAACAGACTTTGCTGCTTTTTGGAGTTTGTTTTGTTCTGTTTTGTTTTTTAAATAATTGTAGCTCTCCTTTCTTGATTGGTATCATGATTTACTCAGATGAGAGAAGATGAGCATATTGAATGGCCAGACAGAATGCTTATAGTAGTTGTTGGATGTAAATCCATGTGCTTCACATTGTTTTCAAACAAAGGGCTGCTTTTACTTTTGGTACCTTTAAGGACTGTAAATATCATGCCATGGTCAGTCATGTGAGTACTCTTCCTACTAAATGATTTTAGGGCTAATAGTGTGGTAAGGTTACAAGAGTTGCTTTTATTATCATCTTTGGAACCCTGTTTTAAGACATCACATATTGATTTTTGATGCCTTTTGTACATGGGCTGGATGATCTATATTATCATCTGTGTTGTGATAACCAGGATCAGAACAAACTAATCATATCAGTTTCAGTTTTTCTTGTACTACAGCAGGCTCCCTAGAGGTGATGTAAAAATATTTGAAAACTGTTTAGTGCCACCCTTGATGCATATTGATTTTTTCACATATTTTTAAAATCATTTTAGTTTTTCAAGGTCTTAATTTTTTTATTTTTCAGTGTTCAAATATAAAAATGGTGCTAACTGTAGATCTGTAACAAGGCTCTAACCCATGTTCCTTTCGGGTGGTCAGTGTGAGCTATGCATGAAATATTTTGGTAATTTTTCATTTTTACTGGTTTGATTCATTTGTGCTTATGAAAAATGTTAACATCCAAAATCATCTAAATAGCCTATATTTGCTTCTCTTGGTTTTTGAGTAGTGATTTAAAGTATGATGCATTTTTGATCTTTCTTGTGCTACAGGTTATATGTCCTTCTTCAGAACAGAAACATGCATTAAATTTAAAGCTCTAGCTAGTTATGTATTACTTTGTTCATTTCTTAGGTGACTGAATATTTTTAAATTATTAAGGAAAACTGGAACTCGATGTTTACTTGAATAAATGGTTCTAAATTCAGTTCTGCTTTGATGAAAGAAACTATCTTTTCAAACAAAACTATTTGCTACAACCAGTGACAGCTTATTTAAAAGAAATGATTAACTTATTTTAGCATGTGTTAGTAAATGTCTATTAGTCTGAAGCACATTAACTTGCATTATATTGTGATGTTGGTACTTGTGCTTTCATACTGTAGTCATAGTCTTGATTTTGTTTTAACCTACCCACTATCACTTTATAAAGTCTAAAGGACCAGTGAATATTTTTTTTCCTGAGAACAAAACCTCATCCACATTCTTAAGTGCCATGTTATCCTAAACTGTCATACAAGCCATCTGTAATGATAAAGCCTAGTTCACTTGTTAGCGTGTTATTTCTTAAAACTATAGCCAGGCACTTTGTACTTTTCCTTGTTCTTCCATAAACTACCAGTTATAGGTTTGAGAATATACTATAAAACTATGTAAAATCATCTTTAGTCATAAAATTAGTGTCATGCTTTATGAATATTTGCACAGATTATAAAACCTTGCAAGTGATTTTTAGTCTCTTCTACTTAGAACTCAACAGAAGCTAATGAAATCCATTGAGTATTTTCTATGTTGCTTGTTTGAATATCATAATGATACATAGCAATAACTTTTTCATTGATTTGGATAAATCTGTTGAATAGAAACAAGGTGCACTATTGTGGTTAGGCCTAAACCTTATTTAAAGAAAAGCAATTTAAAATAGACTTCAGCACATACTTACTTTTTGAATCTCCAACTCAGTTGTCTTTGTTTATGTCAACCAAATTATTAAGTGTAACCTGTTATGCTACTTTTAATCTCTTCCTCCCCCAAAGATAAGTGAATTTGAAAAACTAGAAAATTATTTTTCACCAGGTGTGGTGGCACACACCTTTAGTCCCAGCATTTGGGAGGCAGAGGCAGGCGGATCTCTGTGAGTTCAAGGCCAGCCTGGTCTACATAGTGAGTTCCGAGACGGCTGGGGCTACAGGGAGACCATCTCAAAAAGACCAAAAAGGAAAAAGGAAGGGAGGGAGGGAGGGAAGGAAGGAAGAAGGAAGGATATTTTAATTGTAAGCACATCTATTCCATTCATTCTATTTTTAGCAATGTTTTACTCATGTGTTGTTTCCATTATGAAATTAGTATAAAATCTATAACTTTTTGCTAAACTATGTCCAAAGTATGTGACCATTATTATTTTTTTAATCTAAATTTTATCTTGGTTAAAAACTAAATATGAAACATCTTGGGCATTAGTAGGAGTCATTTGCCTGTGAACAAAATATAAAAACATGTAAAACAAAAAAAAATAGCATTCAAAATTTAGAAATACATTGACTTTAGGATTCCTTTTGTATTGTTACTAATAACCAGAACTATATGACAGGACAGCTGGTAAGTTTGTAGTAGAGAATTTGTAATGTTGTGAGAAATTCCATTATGACTACTGTGCTTATAAATTGTGAATTTAAAACCACGTTTTTTTATATTAAAAAGAATAAAATATTAGATTATACATCTCCAGGTTTAATGTTATTAGAAGTAATTCTACATATTCAGGCAAGGACTAGAAAGCAATTTAAGACCATCCAGAAATATTTTGGGAAAGAAGCTGATGGGGAAATAGAAATAAATCTAATAAATTGCAATATCATTTGTCCTCTATAATTATGTCAAAGAATTTGTAAGGAATATTTAGCTATTTTATATTTATTGGATGTAATAATAGAACTTACTATTTTTTTTAGGGTAACCCCAAAAGATACTTACAAATTTCATTTGTTTTGTTAATATTGTTTTAAGTATTGATGAATTTTAAATTATAGGAATTGATATTAAATGATAGGAAAATAGCACTAGGTTATGAAAGTTTACTTTGATAGTCTGACACCTATGGAGGGTCTACTTTATTATGGGATATTGTGTTAGATGCAGTGGGGGCATGTACTGAAATGTAAATAAGATATACTCTTCACTCAAAAGAGTGAAAGTGGAGGAGTTCCTGTACCCCAATAACTATTATGATAATCTGTAATCTAATTCCTTATTTCCGATATCATAGGAAGTGACTCCAGGCCTAGTTTATTTATAAACTATTTCGTGTCTGATTAGATTTTAATGATGTGAACGAGAATTAAGAAAAGTTTCCTGTTTATAGAATTCCATGTTTCGGGGGCTGCAGAAACAGCAGTTAAGATCCCTTGCTTCTTCCAGAGGACGTGAGTTCAGTTCGCAGCACCTATGTCAGGAGGCTCAGCACCTATAGCTCCAGCTCCAGGGGATCTCCTGTCCTTGTTCTGGCCTTCCTGGGTACCCACACACATGTGGCATGTACTCACAAAGACACATACACATAGACATACATGGAAGTAAATCTTAAAAAATAGTTCCATATTTCTTGAAATTGGATAATGTACTTTCTAAAGGTAAAACTAATTAGGAAAGAACAGCAACAACAAGCCCTATTTTCTAGAAGGTCAAAGCTCTGACCAACATTGAGGAAGATAGAGGTATATATCATGCTGTGTTTTTGTTCTTGTGGTTTTTCTTCCAGTTATGATGTTGGATTCCTGGTTTTGTCACCAAAGTGCTCATTTTCAGGAAAATCAGATTCTACAATAAACTTACTGCTTAAAGTTCAACAAACTTGTGAGAACCTCTATAACCTCTCTAGTCAGAAAGTTGCAAAATGATAAGATGTCACATGTCAAGTTAACATCCAGTTCTACTACTTAAGCTTTTTTTTCCCTTTATAAACAGCACTTTAAGTAGACATGATTGAATTAGATAACAATTTTGTGGCTGGGTATTTATTGGATTTTCACGTACAGTATATTGATTTCAGTGTTGATACACATTTGACAAGACTGAGGGATACAGTAAGTTCAATACATTTTAAATATAAGAAGTTTACAAATCTTATTAGTGTGAACATACAGTCAAATGAAAATCCAGTTTACGTCTCTGAAGAGAGAAAAATTGTTATCCATGTCTTTTATATTACATATCCATATGTCTTCTACATTTCGAGAAAATTTATCATCAATTTTGTTGTTATCATGTGTAAAGTCCCATTTATTTTAAAATACCAAGCAAAAAGTTCCAAGTTTGCCTTAATATACAAGTGAAATTAAAGAACTGGATGATAATGCCTATATTTTTGCCTTATGAATTGTGCTGTATCATAAACCAGAGATGGTTCTGATTTTAACAGGATTCTGAAATTTTGTAGATGTAGAGTACTAATACTTGTACTCTGTTGTAAAGAATGTGATCTAGTTGTGGATAGTGTTTAAATGTTTTTATACCTGTATTTTACCTCTGAATATATACAGGGTTTTATTTTATTTTTTGTTTACATAGTAAAGTGGCATTTAACATGTTGAAGATTGTATTCTTTTGTTTGTGTGGGTTTTTTTTTTACTTTAAAAGTTCTTTATGCATATTATTGTGGTAATGCTCCGTAATGGTTATACTTAAATTTTATTTAATGTGAAATGTTTAAAATAAAACTGAAAAATAAAAATTTGTATCATACAATAATTATTGTGAACTAAAATAACCTAACTTTGTCATGTTCCACTCTGAAGTTCATTTGGATAAATAGTGGTCTCAGAAGTTGAGGTGTAGCTATTTTTGTGGCCCAAGTCTGGAATCTCTGGTCTCTGGAGACTTAGGTAGGTTTCAGACCAGCTTGCTATAGGAAGTCCTGTATAGCTGAGGTGGGCGTGTGGTAACCATTGCTTTATAGTCTCATTACCAGGTTGTAATGAAAGCATCTCAGGCCAAATTCTGCCTAACATTCAGACATTTACTAAACAAATAGGCACCAAAGAGTTTAGTGAGTAAGCTCAATTTCTGTCCTTTTAAGAGTCTATAACTAGGTTACTTTAAGCAGACCAGACAGCATCCCAGAGGAATCCTTTCTTGTCTTTATGATCATAAAGTAACCAGCAACCCTATCTAGTAGAATCTGTAAGCAAGTCATTGAGGTCCATTTGTCTTTTTTTTTTTTTTAAAGAAATGACACTCTCTTACAGCTTTTATTTGTTATTTTTATTTTATGTGTATGAGGGTGTTGTCTGCATGTGTGTAAGTGCATCTGTGTGTGTAATGCCTGCAGAGGTCAGAAGAGGGTTTTGGATTCCCCTGGAACTGGAGCTAAGGATGGTTGTTAGCCACCATGTGGGTGCTGGGAATTGAACTCAGGTCCTCTGCAATAGCAACCCATGCTTCTAACCACTGAGCCATCTCTCCAACCCCCATTTGCCATTTTTATTGCATATATTGGTTGTGCAAGATAATGGTTTCCATTATGGCATTATGGCATTTTCATACATATATTGTGGACTTTGATCAGATGCAGCACACATTACCTTTCTTGTCCTCCCATTTTACTTTCCCAAGCAGTTACCCTCTGACTTTTACATCTTTTTTTTTTTTAATCCAAATTCCGCATATTATAGAAAACATGTCTATTTGCCTTTCTGGGTCGGGAGTATTTTGCTTAACATGATGATCTCTAGTTCTAAGGGCTTGCTTTCTGTAGAAAGAACAGTAGTTCTAACAATATGTTTATAACAGTGAAAACGAATGAACAGAAGCATTTTGTGTTAAAACCCGTTTCCTACGACTATCTATTTCCTTGCAAAAGACATGATTCACTATTTCTTTTTTCTTTATGCCCAGGTGGTGTCTTCTTTAAGGAAGTAGTAGTAAATCACGAGCCAGAAAGGATTTCAGTAGAAGAGGAAATTTCTTATACTATGTGATCCACTCCCTCAGTAAATGGTCCTGACATTTAATATAATTAGCAAAGCAGTAGCTATCAATGAGTGTGTGGATAGCAAAAGTACTTACAGTTACCTTGAGTATGAGTTGCATCAGGATGCCAGCTTAACTGACCTAAGACTGCATTCTTGAAGAGGGCAACTCCAGCTTGAAGTTGGAGCTTAAATACAGCCTGAAGTATTTAAAGTGTATTGTACATGAAATCAAGTATATCAATAGGCATTTTGAAAGGAGTGCATATTAAAGTATTGAAATTGGGACTGAAGAGATGACTCAGCAGTTAAGAGCACTAGCTGCTCTTGCAGAGAGCCGGGGTTCAATTACCAGCACCCACATGCTGGCTAACAAGCATCTATAACTCCAGTTCCAGGGGATCCAACACCCTCTTCTGACTTCCATTGCCATTGCAATGGGTGCACTTACATGCAGGCAATACATTCATACATGTAAAATTAAAGATAAA